GTAACGACCTTCCCCCTTCGGACCATCCTGCATAAACCCGAATTGTCGGGAAGACTAGCCAAGTGGGCCATAGAATTGAGCGAGCACGATATAACATATCAGCCGCGGATAGAGATAAAATCGCAGGTACTCACCGACTTCAGTGCCGAAATATTGTACGAGGTCGAGCAGGAAGCACTTCGTACCTCTCCAGGGTAACCCGACCTCTGGGTCCTTTACACCGACGGAGCATCTAATGCGTCGGGATCTAGACTAGGACTCGTACTTGAAGTCCTAATAGGCAAAGTTATTCGCCAATCTACTTACGTAATTTAGCTAGTCGTGTTCATCCCATTCTTGGTCTTCTAAATATTGAATTTCTGAATGTAATTCTTCTAGATAATAATCTCTTTTGTTTCTTTTGCTTTTGCAGGTGGTCCCCACCCGAATAGTAATTTGCTCATTATCTGTTCGTTTGTATTTTTTTTGTTCTTTTTGTTTTTCTTTTGTTTTTTCGTCCATCTCTTTCTGGTTGTTTACAATTTCTATTCCCACATGGTGCCCTGAAATGACTAACAATGATGCCGAGTATGACGCCGTAATTGCAGGATTAAAGCTTGCCCTCAAATACGGAGCACGACGAGTCGTCCTAATATGCGACTCACAACTCGTCGTCAACCAAGTTATAGGGACTTTCCAAATCAAGGAACAAAGGCTACAGAAATATCGAGCAGAAATTCATAAACTACTGCCAGAATTCGATGAATGTCGACTCGACTAGATACCTCGGGCGCAAAATATCGAAGCAGATGGCCTTGCCAAACTGGCAGCAACAACCAAAAATATCACCAAGGAGAGAGTACATTCCATAAATTTGACTTGGGACTGGCGCAACCGCATCATAACATACTTACAAGAGGGAGTACTCCCTCAAGACAAAAAGGGAGCCAAAGAGCTTCGAATGCAAGCGGCCAGGTACATCATCTTAAATCACGACCTATATAAGAGAACGTTCGGAGGCCCCTTGGCGAAATGCCTAGGGCCTAATCAGACAAGGCGTGTGCTCGAAGAAGTACACGAAGGCCATTGCGGTACCCATACAGGCAATAGAGCCCTCGTCAGATGCCTCATTCGGGCGGGAAATTATTGGCTCACCATGAAAAAGGAAGCCGCAGATTATGTCAAAAGATGCGAACAGTGCCAAAAATACGCACCTATGATACATCAAGTGGGCAAACACCTCCACTTTGTTACTTCACCATGGCCGTTAATCAAATGGGGAATGGACATCGTCGGACCCATCCCAGCAGGGCGAGGTAAGATACGTTTCCTTTTAGTTTTAACTGACTACTTTTCCAAATGGGTGGAAGCAGGTGCGTTCACCCAAACACGCAAACAGGAAGTCATCGTATTCATATGGAAGAATATCATATGCCGTTTTGACATCCCTAAAGAAATCAGTTGTGACAATGGGCCCCAATTCACCGAGAAAAAGACCACCGAGTTCTTCGAAAAATGGCACATCAAGAGAATACTCTCCACGCTACCACCCCGCAAGCAACGGTCAGGCCGAATCCTCCAACAAGACAATACTGAACATCTTAAAGAAAAAGCTCGAGGACGCTAAAGGGTTATGGCTGAAATTGCTACCAAAGGTACTATGGGCCTACCGCACCACGCCGAAAACAAGCACAGGCGAAACGCCATATTCACTAGTCTACAGGACTGACGCCATGATACCTGTTGAGGTCGGAGAGCCCAGCCTAAGGTACTCCAATGAAAGTGGACAGAACAACGACAAGAATGGAAAACAAGACCTCGACGAGGCAGAAGAACGAAGAGACATGGCTTACGTAAGAATGGTAGCCCAAAAAAAATAGGCAGAAAGGTACTACAACAAAAAGGTCAAAGTACGACCACTCAAAGTCGGAGACTATGTTCTCAAAGCCAAAACACTGGCGAGCAAAGATCCGAAAGAAGGCAAATTAGGAACCAATTGTGACGGTCCATACAAAATCACTGCAGCAGCAAGCAAAGGAGCATTCCAACTAGAAACAATGGAAGGAAAACTACTACAAAACAATTGGAACGTCACTCACCTTAAATACTTCAACTTCTGAAAAGGACGCCCCTCAAATCTTACTCTTTTTCCCTCGCCCGAATTTTGTCCCAATTAGGTTTTCTCGATGAGGTTTTTAACGAGGCAACGAAGGGGACGTCTCTAAGTTTAAAGTATAATTCATTGCCCCGCCTGCCGATTGTCTCTCCAGGACGAACGATGAAGGGACTAGACAGGAAAACTTCTCCAATATATGTATGAAATGGACATGTATAGTATTCTCTAGTGAATGAAATAAAGCAACATTTTGTTCTCTCCACCAACATATTCTCCAATGAGTGAAATAAAGCAATATTTTGTACTCTCCACCAAGACATTCTCGAATGAGTGAAATAAAACAGCATTTTATTCTCCATCATTTTTTGAACATTCGACGTCGCTCGAATTACCTAACATTCGACCTCACTCGAAATACATAACATTCGACCTAGCTCGAATTACTTAACTTTCGACCTCGCTCGAATTACATAACATTCGACCTTGCTCGAATTACTTAACATTCGATCTCGCTCGAATTACTTAACATTCGACCTCGCTCGTATTACTTAACATTCGACCTCGCTTGAATTACTTAACATTCGACCTCGCTCGAATCACTTAAACATTCGACGTCGCCCAAATTACTTTATACGGCCTTGCCCGAGTTACTAAGATCTACGATCGACTACGCCAAAACATTACACAAGGAGCCGAAAAGCCAGAGACCCCCCCCCCCCCCCACAACAAACAAAAATAACAATTCGGAGATACACAACAAAAAGGTAATCATTTCATTACAATTGTTATATTACAAAAGGTTTTTACAAAGGGCTCGAAGACGCCCTCACAAAAATAGCAAAGCAAAAACAAAATAAATACAATAGCCCTACGGCGCGTCATCTCCCATGGCATACTCCTCGCTATACCAAAAATCAAAGGCGAGCCTGTCCGCATCATCATCATCAACATCGTCCCCGCCAGGCGTACCGGGATCATAACCGCAGGCCTCACGGGCTGCACGTGCTTTAACACGTACACCCTCGAGTTCTGCCTCGGAAACCTTCCCGTTAGCCTGCGGGGACATGTACACATCAAGCTGGGCCTCGGCATGGACCCACATCTCATACAACTCCCGCAGCACGACGGGATAAACTGAGGTATGAGACGTGGAGGGTTGCGACTGCCGTCGCACTTCCTCTGCCCTCGAAGCAACAACCTGTTCGTTCAATACGGACAACTCTGCCTCCAGATCTTGGATCCGTTCTTCTAATCTCGCTACCTTGAGCGACGACGTCTCCACCTCACTGTCCCGCTCAGACCTACAAATACGGATGGCGTTTTCCAGAGCCGCTACTTCAGATACGGCAGTCAGCCTGCCCTTTTCAGCAAGAGCCAATTCATCAGCCTTAACGCTCAATTCACCCCTCAAATCGACAACCTCCGCCTCTCTTCGCCCAAGCTCGGCAGTCAAGGCGGCCACCCGCGCCTGAAGGTCGGCGTTCTCGGCCATCACTCATCATCCTTGGCCTTAAGGGCCGCCTCAAGTTCACTACATCGACCAATGGCCCTCATCAGCTCGTCATCCCATTCTTTCAACTCTTCAACCTTCTGCACCAACTCTTCCTCTTTTTGCTTAAGCCCGTCGCGAAACAGCTGAAAATCGCTATCTTGAGTGAATACGTCAGCCAATGTACGGTGCTTGGTGCGGTACTCTTTGTACTTAGATGCCAACTTCCCAAAAATGGTCGTCCTGCATTCATCCCTCCGATCGCGCTCAATCTCCATAATGAGAGTCCGACATGCAGAGAAAAGAAAGTCAGTTTACGAAGATCACACATACGAAACAAATCCCAACAAAAAAAAGTACTGTAAATATATTTTATATATATTTGTATATACACTGGAAACCCCTTTAGTATTTTTCCTAGTCCCCCTCATCAACAAAAGCAGGACTGAAGTGCTGGTTTTTGTAGCCTGCTTGAGTGCTTTAGTTACCTGATGGACCAGCGTCGAAATTAAGCTCTTGCGATCACTCTCTTTTAGTTTTTTCCAATTCAACTATTGTTCACTTAGGACTTAGTAGCCTGCTGGTTTTTTATATTTTTGTTTTTTAAATTTTTATTACTTGTACACATCAACCTACAGTTTTAACTTTTTCAAACTCAATTCTGCCTCTTACCTCTCCTTTTCAAGCAAAAGCAAAACCCCTCCGATCACCCCTTCTGCTCAAAAATAAAAACACATTTTCAAACGATTGTTTTAACCTTATTCTGCATTTGCTCGAGCTCGACTCCGACAGTCCAAATCGGCGACGATTACTGAGTTTGAAACTCTTCTTCAACTGAAAGGATAAGTTTATTTGAGTGAATTTTAATTTTATTTGAGTAATTTTTTCTTTTGAAAATATTAACGTAGCAAAATAATTTGGTATCAAACTTTTGCTTTCTGCGAAGAGTTGTCGAGCCGAAAAGTAAACTTAAAGTTTGTATTTTGCTGATAAATTATCATACCTCATTTTTTATATAGTTACACGCCGAACTTTATCACTAGTAATTGGAATGTTTAAGGCAATGGTGGTCCCGTCATGTTCAAATCCTGGGTTCTCTATATACAGGTGCAACGAGTTTCAGTATATTATGCTGGAACTTTTCGTATTGCAGCAAAACAGTGGCTATTTTCAATGACTTGCAAATACTGACTATTTTTCAATGACCAGTCCGAAAATTGGCTAGCCCGTGCTACTTTAACCAAGCCTAGTAAACAGTAGGCCCAATAGAGTATGGACCAAGTCGAAAAGCCCAATCAGAGAAAAGAAGTGCAAAAGCCCAGGCGAAGTTGCGTAGTAAGGAACGGAAGCGGGTGAACCGAGTGGCTCTGTAATTTTCTCCGACGATATTGCAACGTGTGGCGCTCACGATTTTTTCTTCACATATTAGGTGAAATAATAAAAAGGACAAAGGGATAGTATATATAAATATCAATACACGCTGTACGAGAGAGATCTTTTTCCTTCCGAAGTTGTGGTGGTTCACGGAATCATACTTTGACTCAGTCGAAAACTAGCACTGAAAAATACAGTACGAGGCGATTACCTGCCGATTTCCGCCATGAGAACTCTTCAAGCGTCCACCTCCTACAGCGTCGGCTTTGGGATTTCATCTTTTGCTACTCTTCCTAAGCCTTCTACTCGTCGCGACGTCACGGTAGCTAAAAGTAATCATTTTTCAGCTTCACAGTCATTATTTCTTCTCATTTCCTTTCTGTTGCATATTTTTGTTTTCGATTTTTGAATTATTAGTTTGTTTATGGTGATAAGCTCCTGGAATTGGTTCCATGGAGACTTTTGATGTTAAAAACTAGCTCGAACTTTAAATTGTTGCTTCACATTTTAGTTTCGAGTTTAGAATGTCTAGACTGCTACTATAGATCTTGAAGACCATTTTAATCACGACATAAAAGCATGTTTAGATTTACTTGTGATTTTCCTAAAAATGAAAATAAGGCCTCCATTCTGCTACATCAAAATTTGATTATGAACATAAAATCAACAAAATTAGTGCAAGTTTAATCTATTAATTATACTAAAATGACTAATTTCATTGGCGTGTTGTTTGTATATATATGTAGTGGAGCCATCAGAGAAATCTGTTGAAATCATGAGGAAATTCTCGGAGCAGTATGCTCGCAGGTCAGGAACGTATTTCTGCATGGACAAGGGCGTGACTTCTGTAGTCATCAAGGTACATTCGTTTCCCTATCACAATTATTTTAATGATCATTATCATTCGATTGCTTACTGCTGCTGTAGTAATAACCTCTATTCTGCATTTTCTATATGGACTTGTGTGTTTATGACTTTTGCGTGTGTTTCATATCATATTTTCCTATTTTCATCTCTTGGTACTTGATTATTCTTTTCTATTTCACTTACTGAGATTATGTCTTAAGGATTAAATTTGGGACAGAGCCTTTGTCTCCATGAAATCTGTCTCCAATAGCTGCTTAATCTTGTTTTATTATTTCCTCTATAATTTTGTGACTGTTGCATTAGCAACTACCAAAGTAGGTCAATGTCAAATTCACTATTTCAACGTTGGTTTTTCTTTGTTAGCTGGTAAATTACTGTAAAACTAATATCTTGATGTCAAGAAAATGCTACCTTGCTTTTAAAGGTTGAATAGTCGGTCACTTCTGCCTAGGTATCCTTCCGTTAATATGTTTTAGGTTAAGGTGCGTTTTTGTGTATCTTGTAGAAGCATGCTTCTATGTTGGTTGGCGAGCATATATGTGGAAATCCTTGAACATAGGGGATATCAAAAGACATAAAATGAGGATAAGAGAGAACTATAGTACAAAGTCTAGTTATATAATAAAGGAGAGGTGTAAGAGGAGGAATAAGAACAGAGAACAATGGAAAAGAAGGGGTGGCTTAATGTATAAAATGCCAATCTTGGCTCAAAGAAGGGATAAAAGTTGAGAAAATTTTAATAATTGAGTAAAAAGATTTTTCATCTCATAACCAAGATAGATGAATAGGATATATCACTAGTTGTTTCAGAAAAGTGACAGTTAATAGATTGAACAGTACAAGCCAATCACACAGATCAATCAAACATGCTGTCCTTATTTTGAGGTAGAACAGGATGGAATGCAATCCTTTCTTTATGAAGAGCCACGAGGAAGTTGTAATGTTATAGCAAACCATGGAATAGCTAGGGTTGAAGGACAGCTATGGAACTAGAAGCTCCAATATCAACAGGACAAGGGAGTGGATAAGAAAAGTCTTTTGATAATATGGAAGGGTGCTCTTCTAGATTGTGCTGGGGAAGTTGAGGATCATCTTGGTGTTCTTGGTTGTGTTGGGTTACCTCCAACATTTACCTATTAATAATAATAGCTACCCCACCAATAAATAACAACACAATACTACCCCATCGGGGTAGAGGTAAGGTCTGCGTACACACTACCCTCCCCAGACCCCACTTGTGGGATCTTACTGGGTCGTCGTTGTTGATAACAACACAATGCCAAAAACAATAACAGTTAACAGCAACCAAGGTGAGGGGGAAGTTAAATCCAAAATCAAGAAAATGATTTAAAGCCTCAGCGACATCAAAGTAACATATGGAAAACATACTTGTCCAAGGAAAGAAGTGTATATTATATGCAGCTGTGTAGGTATCCTATTGGGTTTTTATAGAGCTTCAAAACGCAAGGATGTTTCCAAGCATGTGATGGAACTTCCCTTAGGAGTATCTTTTATTACTTTGATAGCAAGTAGTTTTAGTATTAGTTTTATCTGATTATTTGATAGTCATTATGACTTCTCCCTTCTGGTGGTGGATGCTTTTTGTCTTACAAAGTTTCTAAATTATGTTGCTCCACAAAGAATGGAAATATCACCTTTCCAGAAATTTGAATCAAGAAGTTATTTAAGAAGTTTGTGGGCTAAGCATGAATAAATGTGTCATACACGAGACGCCGTAAATATTAATAATATTGAGACAAAAGAATATAAGTCATTTACAGGACCCAAGTCTAGATTCATAGAATACTACGACTAACCGGAATATCCTTATTCTTGAAAAGTAATTTTTGCTACAGAGACCTGTACATTTTCCGGTCTCTATTGTTCTAAAATAATCATTACCTTTCTAAAAGAAAAAATAACAGAACCATATAACTTTAGTTCAAACAAAGCTATCTTAATATATGAGAATTAAAAAGAAAGTGATACTTTAACCCCCCCCCCCCCCCCCAACCACACACACAGACACACACAAAAAAAAATGAAGAAAGGAAAAAAGAATGATAAGTGCCAAGGAACTCCTTAACTTTCACAACTTATTAAGGTGTTTTACTAGAATAACATGTAACAAGCATATCACGTTTGACTGATTTATGCACATATCAAAGGCATTCATTTATGTCTTTGTAAACTTAATATTAAGTTCCAATTTCCATTTAGGTGGAGCATAGACTGCTCTTGTTAGAACACCCAGTGGTCTTTATATTCCTCATTAAAACATCTGTGTTTATATCGAGGACGGGATTTAATTAATGGTATTTGTTGGCATATGCTTAGGGATTGGCAGAGCACAAGGATACGTTGGGTGCGCCACTCTGCCCCTGCAGGTAAATATTCGCTCCTAACACATTTGTTTTGATGGTTTTCATGCTTTACTCCTTACCAGTTACCACAGTATTTGTAATTGTTATTACCATGACCTGTACCATGTTGTTATCATTTTAACTTTTCAGGCATTATGATGACAAAGCTGCAGAAGCGCAGCAGGGCTTCTGGAACTGTCCATGTGTACCGATGAGAGAGAGGTAAGATGTTTTTCCTTGTATCTATAGACTTGGTTCTATTCTGGTCGTTTCTGCTTGCTGGGGGTAAAAAGAAAAGCAGAACTTGAGGATCTCGTTAGTAAAAAATCAATATTCTGCATTCTCTGTATTCTGTAATGATGTTTTCCCCCTTTTCTCCTGGAGATACTAGATGTTGGGTTTGCCTTTAACTTTTTGGTACAGATGAGGCTTCATTAGGTGTTATTTGCTTTGAGTTTCCAGACATTGGATATCTGAATAATAAAATCTTTAGAATGCATGAGAGATGTTGGTCAACAACTACAGCTTATGGGTGCAGAACTTAGGGATAACTTGTCTGTTGCCTTTGTGTCGTTTGCCATTCAATGTTTCTAGCTCAATTATGTGTGCCATCATGTATATCTCGTCATATCCATTTTAGTCTGTATTGTGTCAATCCAAGTAGTTGTGGACGTTACGGCCTAGTATTTTATCATCTATAAAATCTCCAACTAAGTTTCTGTTTTAATCAGTCTACTTTTTTTTTGATGAAGTAAGATAATTTCATTAAATGGCATCAAGAAGATGCATAGCAAAAAATATACAACAAAAGTGTGGCTGCTCATATACAAAAACTTACATAACTAATGAGCATACACAATCCCAAAAAGATTCAAAGCTAGTTACAGGGGCATGGTTTAACCAAGTAAATAAATTGACTAGACAAGTTGCTTTAAGAGAGTGATTAGGAGTTGAAATCCCATCAAAACATCTGCGATTTCTCTCATTCCAGATGCACCAAATTTAATCAGTCTACTTTTGTTGCCTTATTGCCTTTCTTATCCTCCTTAAAACTTGCATTACAGGAAGGAGTGCCACTGCATGCTTTTTCTCACACCTGATAATGATTTTGCTGGAGAAGAACAGGTACATCAGCTTGATTTCTAATTACCTTCTTAGGTTGGGTATTTGGTCATGAGCTCTTTTCCTTCGTTTTTTGGCTACCTTGAGAGGAGACTAGGTTATCTAGTGAGGTAGGTCACTTCTGATCATGTGGGTTAATAATAATGAGGGAATGATCTGATAAGAGAAAATGGGAGTCGCAATTGGCAACAGTTTTTCAATAATGGCATATGATAGCATGAGTTTGTTTACTCTATTCTTGATATATCAGACTCCAGGAGTCTATGGTAAAAGGTAAGGGTTACTATTATCTGCTGTTCGTGCCTCATAACTGGCTAGTGTCGCCTTTGCAATTATATCTGCTACTAAGGTTAGTGTTCTGCCTTTTGCTTCGCAGGCGATTTCTATGGAGGAGATTAAGGAAACAACAGCAAACATGTGATGCTCCGCCATATACTTTACTTGCTATGAACATTACGTTTTTGTTGTACATGTATATTTGAGTAGTAGATGACGAGCAACGATCAAAATTCTGATGTGACATGTTGCTGAAATCCCATCCAGTATATTGTGTGGTGTCAAATGAGCTTGGGTGGGCGAGTACAAGTGCGATGTAATCTAACCGTCGTGTGATGCATCAAGATTGTATGAGTCGTATAGGGTATTTTGGGTGGCCTCAGCTAAAGCAAATCTTGATTTTGGATGGAAACTGGCTTTTATAATTTCCAAATGATGCTTTCTGATGTTCAATCCCTGGTGCATGATCTGTTAATATTAAAATTAAAATACATCACTCACTTTCGCAATGTAAGCCCGTTTATATGCAACGTCAATTATGATCATGGACTTGATGCGCTTCCTCCAGGTGTGATTTACTGGTCTGCACTGCTCAGATGCCTATACCAAACATGAATTGAGGAGGGAGAGAATCTCTATTCATCAAAACTTTTTACGGTTTTCAGTTAGCGAGAACAAGGAGAAAACAAAAAACATAAAGCACAGAGTTTATACCAAGTAAAAGGGGAAAATAAGAAGACCATTAATATTTGATAACATTAAGGACCCATAATAAAAGGAACAATGAATTTCTCTTATTACACGAGTCCGTTCTATGGTTCTACCTCAGTGGAACTACATAACTCGAATACCACTTTTGTACATTTTACTGGAGAGGTAAAGAACATAGGATGATTTCAGTTAAAACTTAAAATCAGGATATTTCACCTTGTGGACCAACATACCTTCATTTTAGAGTTTAAAAACACTTTCTTCAGAGTTACCTAGTGTGATGGGTGAATTACTAAATAGGATGATTTCAGTTGTTTTGTTAACACTTGGATCAGACTGTTATTGAAAGAAAGTTGGAAAGAAGTATTAATTGTTTTAAACGATGAAACAGAAATTATAGTCAAAATTTAACTGCTCGTGGAATCAAATACTGAATTTTGTACAACGTGGCATGTATGGCATGTCATGTAGGGTAATAACTTATTCTCACTATTTCAACTTAATAAAAAAAATACATGTCTTTATAAATATAATTATTATGTAGTTAATACACACAGTAAATAGTACAGCATTGTCAAGTATGCGTGGCACAAGACTGTGGGGGGTGTCAGGGGACTACGGTTGACGCGCGCTCGACAAATAAATGGAGAAAAAGAGAGACAAAAGAATCTTATTGCGACCGTACTAAAGACTAAAGTCCGGAACTATGGATTAAAACCAGGTATCTGATTCTTCGTCTAATGCGATTCTAGGGTTCCTTCGTTTTTGACTCTCGATTATTTAATCTTTAGCTGTATTCCTTGCAGATTTTGTGAATGATCAATCCAAAAGGTTATTAGCTGTGCTTTAGCTGAGACCGTCTCAAGTAAACGAAAATGTCAAGGCCTCAGGTTACTATCACATTGGGCCGCTCTGGTCAAGTAAGCTTTCTCGATTTTTCACTCTTATTTTGCATCAGAATGTTGTTTATCAAGCATCAGACCTGTGTTCCTCCCTTATTGGAATTTAGTTTCGCCTTTTTTTACAGAGTCTATTCTTTTAGGAATTTACTACTTAGTTGCTTTTTAGGGTTCAATCATCAATGTTCCTAATTAAACTTTTTTGCGACTCTAAAAATCCGAAGAAGGTGGTGAAGCGATCGTCAGCTTCTCAGGGAACTGGTTTTGGTCAACAAACGTTGTCAGGAGGCAAAAGATCACTAGGAGAGACCTATAGAACTGACTCTGAGGATCCTTCTCTATCGCTTCGCAAACGGTACAATCTTTATTTTGTTGCTCCGTCTAATAGTTTTGGTAGAGCTAGTGTTGGCTGTTTATTTTTTTAGTTATGTTTTGACTGATTCAGGTGATAGTAGAACTATCAGAGACTTATGAACACATTACATTTAAACTATTGGTAACAGTGATACTGAATGCTTATGTCTTTCTGTGGTAATTGATGACATTGTGAAAGTTTAAGTTGCTCCAGATTGAATTGATTATCATTTTATCTGAGAGTGGTAGTTTTGCTGCCATTTTTTTTTCAAGTGTGCGGGGGTATGGAGGTGCAGGGGATTCCAGATATGGTGGCCCTAATGGTATTATCTTATTTATCTTTTGGTTTCATCTCTTTTTCTTGGTTCTTTAACTTTTGATAAATACCTTTCAGTTTCACGTGTTAGTCCTTGGTTCACATTACCTGATGTTTTCTACTGTTTCTGTTATGTGAAGATGTAAGGGTGGGGCAAAATGACCTCCGACTGAAACTAATACGCAGAAGAAGGCAAAAGGAAATTATTCTGGAGATTGAAAAAAGAAAAAAGGAGCAGCATAAGATGATGGCAGAAAGTGTTCGATCGGCAGAACAGTCTCATAGGAAGCTTGTCACTGTCGGCCAACGATCATCTGGAGCTAGTGAGTTGCATCAGATGGAGGCAATGAGATCCTCCTATGCATCACAGATTTATGGTGGTGTAAGACCAAAATCCCCAAATAGACTTCCAAAAGATTCTAGAGAGATCTCGTCACCAAGCAATATCACTGCAACTCAGCATGTACTATCAATAAGGCCAGCTGAAACCTCAAGAGCAGTTGGTATGTTGAGAGCTGACCTCTTGAACCCTTCCCCATTAAAAGGTCTTACCCCTATGACCATGAGGTCCACACTAGTTGCCGGGAAATCGATGCTAGGTCTTTCCTCTGCAAACGGAAGCATGCTACAAAGCTCATATCCTGTATGAACCGACTTATTATTTATTTACTGCTTTTCTATCTTGTATTATTTGTGGCACAGTTCTAGTCTTATCTTGTATCACGTACACTACATTTTGACTTCAACTGGAGAATGCAAAATTAGGCATTCTATATTTTTTTTCAGAAGACAAAATTGAGCATTCTATATGACATTCAAGATCCTGATGTCTGACCTCTTTAGTTATTGTCTATCTGGAGAACATCACAAACAGCTTACTTAAATTAGTAGATCATTTATGATGATAGATGTTTCTTCTTGCTTGGTTCTAGTGCACATCTGGCATGCTTCCTAGCACTTTAACAAATGGTTTCGTTTGTCCAGATTGTTGCCTATATTTACCCTGTATGCTGGAATTTAGCACTGCTTATATTTTGAATATCAAATGTTTGATGAAAGTTGAGTAGGTATGGCATTGTTAGGGCATGTTCAAAAATGCCTAGGTGCTAATGCTCGTTCGAAATAGTTGTCTCTGTTGTTTTACTATTATCAGAGCGATTTTCATCACGTTGTTATTCCCCTGCCTGCAACATATAGGAAGCGTCAAGGCATTGGTTGCATCCATGTTCCTAGTACTGAAAGTATTGCGGGTTCGAATACTTTTGAAACCAAATTGTCTATTCCCATGTCAATTTCTTCTACGTTGCCTGTTAAATAGGACCAAATTAGTTGTTATTCTTCACGCTTTATGTTTTTTCTCATACTCCACCATTTAACAGCTATTGTGGTTATAGTTATATTATTTCCCTTTACGCTTGGAATGAGGAGAAAAGAGAATAAATATTTGAAAATGGACAGGATCTTAATATTTTTCTATCTGGTGTTGTACAGGATCCACCGCCCATGACCGTGGTCAGTCTATTAAATTCCCTGGGTTTGGGAAAGTATGCTATCCACTTTCAAGCTGAGGAGGTGAATAGTACTCTTGTTAATTGATGAATAATGCGTTTTGGTTTTGTCATGGTCTATTTGTTATTACATTTCAGCCTTGTGAACATTTTTATTATCAATATTGGTACTGTGGCATAGAAGCTTTAAAGGCCGAACTAGTATTTTGCAAAAGTAACAACATCGTGATTAAGTTGTATCACATTGTTGGATGGAGAACTTCTATTTCTTTGTAAAGAAGGCTTTGTTTGATCAAAAGCTATTACAAAGAAGTTGATCAAAAGCTTTAAAGGCCGAACTAGTTAGCACGCTATTCACTTTTCAGAGAAGTTGGAGAGCTACTGCTGGATACCTTGTGTAACGTGCTATGAACATGTGACGTGACAAATCTTCCGATATTTGTTTTTTATTTATTGTGATCACGATATCAAGCTCTTAATCCCATATAATATCCTCCCTTTTTAGCCATATGCTCATCATGGCCTTCTAATCCGAGATTATTTCTTGTCATCTTGATGTGTCATTGTGTAGAGGAAAGCTGCCTAATTGCTATTCCCTATTAAAATGGGTGCCATTAACCCATAACATTCTCAAGCATTTTCTATTTCGCCCAACCATACCTTTGTGACATAGTTCAACTTTATAATCAGTCCATCTCTTTTATTTGTTTGTTCCCATGCATCAATTTTTGTTGTCATTTGAGTGGTTTTATATACTTCACCAAGAATTTGAGAGATCCTAGTTTAAATCTTTTCTTAGTGAAGTCTGTTTACCCATCGCAGATAGACATGGCGGCATTGAAGCAAATGGGGGACCGTGACCTGAAGGAGTTGGGGATACCTATGGTAATTGTGATTTCAGTCATCTTATTTTGGGAAAAAAAATCATTACAAATTCGAATGCAAGTCAATATATGCTGATTTTGCTAAGCACAATGACCTATTCTCTTCAACAGAAGAGAAACGGATACTTTTCTCGTTGGGGGTGTGGAGAGGGGCTTAACTTCTCTTCGTTCATATGTGAATTGTAGTCTAGGGTGTGGAAAAGGCACAATGGGCTCCAAGTGCCTCTTCAATTTTTTATAATACTTGCTCTTAATTGTTGCATTCTGGGGTATTTGCAGGGACCGAGGAAGAAGATTCTCCTAGCTATGCTTCCCCAAAATAAAAGAGCAATGATGCAGGTGGTAGGAAGGTAGTTATGTTTGTTGAAATGTGCTTGGAATTGCTTTGTAGCTGAAGCTTTTGAACTGGTTGTTCCTGGGAAATGTATATAAAGGACAGTGTTAAAATTGCCGGAGGAATATTGTGTATAGCAGTGAAATTCTCTTTGTTTTTGGCGGAAGAGAGCGGGGTAAAACAGCTGCATCATTTTCTTTGTTTGATGTTTATTTTAGAGAAAAAGTGTTCAAGAGGAGAATATTTTCTTAAACTGTGCGTCTTATCAAAGATGTCCATATAAACTGAAATGGAGGAAGTGCTATATGTCAAGCGTATGAGAAAAGAATGAAAAACATGGTAGGATCCTGTTCTGAATTTAAAATTATTACCTCCTTGTGGTTTTATAGGGGTTATTCTTTCACATTTGGGTTGTTCTGGAAAGAAAAAAACCATGTAACAGAACTAATGAGCAGTTAAATGATATAGTAATAATTACAAATGACAATTTTGAAATGTAGCAATCTTTCTGAAACAATCAACAAGCTTTAACAGAAGGGGTGGTGGGGCGTGAAGCTGATGCGCGGCTTTTATTCCCACAATCATTCCCACTCCTTGCCGCCAGAGCAATCAAAAACTTGTTATTAGCCGATGGCTGGGATAATGAAGAATTCCGTTTGCAGGCGTGATCAGCAGGAAACCGGTGCTTGAGGCAAACTTGAATCCTGCAACTCTTGCAAGTGCTGGTGTTTGAGAATGTCAAAATCTCCTTGCATCTCTTCACAGGGCAGGTAGGTTTCTTCTTCTTCTTGGGATCACAATCCCCAGATTTCTCGTGCTTTTGCAATAGCACTTTATCGTCTTCACCTTGACAACCAGTAGTTTCAATAGACATGGAACAGATTTCGCAAACCAAAACTTTTCGGCTGTTAACGTCGGATTTTGGGCATTCGTGAGACTTGCATGATCTGTGCTCCACACAAAATACCTGCACGGAGTTCAATGAAGGTAAAAAGGGTCAAAAAAACTATATGAAATGTCGGTTATATCTATGTTAGCAAACAATGGCGGAGGCAGAATTTCCGATAAGAGGTTCAAAAATTTTCGATAAGAGGGTTCAAAAGAGAAAAAGTTAAAATATTAAAAGAGATTACGGCTAGAGGGAATTGACCTATTGACCTTACAAAACTTTTGAATCCCCTTGACCACTAAGCTATATTTTTTAGTTATATCAAAGGGGATTTAAAATACAATATATAGAGGTACATAACATATTTTGCCTTATATATGTAATTTTCTGGCGAAGGGCTGTTAAATCCGCCCCTCTTGGCAAAGTCATGAATTTACTCTAGACTTAACGAAATTCTAATCTCTAAGTATTTGATACGCGTAATTCCGGACAGAGTTAACCATAATGATAATAAAAATACAAGGAAGTTTGCTAACTGGAGTATGAATCTCCCCAAAATATAATGGAAAAAATCAAACATTGAATAATTGAGGAATAAATTTGGAGCTTTCACGTATAATACAAAATCCTAAAATCTACGTGGGAGGGGTAAGAAGTAGCAAACCTTTTGACAAGCATCGCAGGTAAAGGGGAGAAAATCGAGCTGACGGCAATCAGAATGTTGGCAATGGCTTCCTAAATCTGGAAAAGCTTCTGTTCCTCCTCCCATGTTTTTCTTTTCTCCTTCGCTTTTCTTTCTTCTCTTACTTGTCGGAATTTTTCCCAGAATGCAGTTTTCATGGCTATATATAAGAGTTTAGGACTTATTGGTGCTGGCTTGGGCAATAAGACAGAATAAATTACAAGTCGGCTTTCCTAATTCATGTGTGAAACTAAATCTTAAAGGAAGCCGTGGAGGTGCGACATACGCGCTTTCGTCACCAATCGGACCCGGGTCGGTCAATGTGGTCCAGAACGATCCAGAAAGTTCATGGCTGACGGAGCTCCTTTTGTGCTTGCTTGGATAGAGGGAAAACTCAGGGCCCAAGCCTTATTTTCAGGCTGAAACTTTGGTCCTGATTTGTTTGGATCATGCCTACAGTCTGGGCTTAATTTTGGTATTTATATAAGGAATTTTTACCTCCGATAGCAAAGGTTAACACCTTATTTATTTTAAATAAATATCATTTAAAAAAATTATATTCTATAGATACCTTTTAAGGTTTATAGCAAAATATCTAATTTTGGTACCCCCTAGCCCTAAGCCATTAAATACGCTATTCAGTTACACTATTTTATTTCTCTCTCTAATTTGATACATGTCATTCTCTCTTCCAAATAATAACGGATTCATTGACCGACCACCACTTCTCTTGGCAACGACAATGTCGACGGATATGATGCCTTCTCACAAATACCAAACCTCAAAATCCAGTAATTATCAATTACCAGAGAATCGGCCATGGTATTCAACGCTGGAGCTTAAAAGGAAGAAGAGGGTGGCCAAATATAAGATATATTCCATGGAAGGAAAAGTTAAGAAATCATTCAAAAATGGTTATCGTTGGTTCAAACATGTGTCAGAAGCAATGTACATGATGCGTGGGAAGTGAGATTCAGGGTTTTTGCTCGACGGCGGATTCGCCGGAAATTAGGTTTGTTCTTGAACAAAGACGACGGAGGGCTGAGCAACTTGATTTTCTGTTAATATATTTCAATGTATTCTCAACGTATCACGCTGTATTTTCATGTATTTCATTGTATTCATTGTCTTTTTTTCATTGTAATTCAACGTATCTCGTTGTATTCTATGTATTTTATTGTATTAACTTCTTTTTTTCTCATTGTATTTCAATGTATCCCGCTGCATTCTATGTATTTCATTGTATTCACCGTCTCGCTATATGCCATGAATGTATTCATATATTTTTTTTAATTAATATAATTTATGTATTCAGATGTATTATATAATTTCTCTGAAGATTGCTATGTTTTTGAATATTTTTCGGTTGAGAATCTTTTTTATAACTGAAAATAAAAAATTTGTGTGTTATAATTGAGTTTGTTGAGTTATATTAGGAGTCTATTATGTTAATTGATTCATTTTCCGTTTTAAAAATATTGTAATCCCCTATTTCACGCCGTGAATACAGTCGAATACAATCAAATACAATAATATGTCCAGTGTAATCCCATGTTTCACTCCATGAATACAGTCGAATACACTCGAATACAACAACTGATTAACTGGACTTCCCTGATTCACGCCTATTTTTGCTGTATTCATGAATACAATAGCTTAAATACATCAAATACATCTTATAACCACAGAAAATGTATCTATAATCCGTAATATAGCAAATGGTATTTATAGATGGCTAATTACTACTAAAAGATAGTGCTTTATGAAAATTTCCCTTTATATAATTCTCGGCCTGAGTTAAGTTAGTTAAGAAACATTCGCATCCTATAACAACACATAACAGAAATTGGCAATCTTTTAGCCTTATATTAGGTTTGGCAAAGATAGTTGTTTACCTTGAAAATAGTATTGACAATTATATTTGATTTTGCGGTTCTAAAAATATGTGATTTATTTTAATACTAGTTTTAGGCAATAGATACTCAGTGTAAGTAAAGAGAATAAGAAATGCAAACCAAAGCTATCATAAAACCGAGCCTCGAGCTGGCTAGAACAGAAGCTTCGAGGTGGTAAGGGCAGTTGGCAATGAACTGTTGATACCCAATTTTTTCCTATATTTTTTATATATGCAAAATACTTTCAAAATAGCATGTACAGGCATATATAAGCATGCCCCAAAGTTTTGGTATTTTTCCTTTATTTTTTAAGACTTTAAAACCAATTTATTGTCTATTTTAATACTACAAAATTCAATAATTATTCCCAAACTAGCATTTTTTTAGTGAATAATTTATTTCGTTCTCATATTTACCCTAAGATATAATTGGGGTAATTTTTGTATATTTTTATACATTTATTTGGTATTTTTTAAGCTAATTGCATATAATTGTAATTATAGCCTATTTTACGATTAACAGCATTCTATAATTATAAAATCACTTTTAGTATTTTTACATTAATATTTATATGTTATTAATTGGTCCAGTACCTTTAATTTATTTTCAAGTCATTTTTTACTATTTTTATAAATTAAAAGGGGAAAACTGGCTATTTAAATGACAGCCCTTTTGTGTTTCAATTTTAGCCCAAATTGGACCCCAATCACACCCTAATCAAACGACCCAATTTTATTATAACCCGACCCATACCCTTTCTTATCATACCCAAACCCGGTCCCCATTTAACCCATTTAATCCCAGCCGTTGATCTTTTAGATCAACGGCTCCCCTCATCCCTTTCCTTTTTTAATTCAAACGACCCCTTACCCTACCTCATTTTCTCCTCAGCCGCCGCCTCTGAAACCCTCCACTCTCTCAAACTCTCTCAAGGGTTCTCAAACCCTAGCCGCCTCTTGCCGTCTCAGACCAGAGATCCACCGGAATCTATGGCCACCAAAGCTATGGGGATCTCACACCCACCCCCTGGTGCTCTTATACACCGGTTTTCTGAAGATTCAAGGCCTGACCTTGAAGATCTCTACCCAGATCTCCTTCGATTCAGGGTTCCATGGTCGTCTCCGGCTTTACTCCGGCATATCGTGGACGTTCGAGCCTGAGTCTAACTTCTCCGGCTTAGATCCACGAGTTTTCCAGGCCTTTCTCACTTCTAGGTTTCTTCTGAATCCCTAACCTTTCGAGGTTCTCCTGATTTCTCTAGATCTGTCCTAGATCTGTGTTTATCTTGGGGTCTCAAACGTTTTCTCAAAAGTTTCTTTCAAAACTTGCTTTTTAACCTTTTCATCTTCCCCGATCTAGGGTTTCTTTGATCTTTTAACATGCTCTACTGTGATTCTTATATGTTTCTTCTGCTACGTCTCTTCTATGATCCTTATGTGTTTCTTCTACTGTGTTTCTTCTACCTTGTTCTTACGAGTTCTTCTACTGTATTTTTTTGCATGATTGTTCTTTATTATGTTATTCATGAGTTTCTTCTACTGGGAAATACGTGTTCCTTTATGATTTCTGCTCTTATTCCGTTAATATTTTTGCCTGACTTACTTGTCTTCATCTCTAGACTCGATTAATGGTAAAAAACCCTAGAATTTGGGGGTTCATTCGAGTTTTGAGGTTATTTGTTATGTGATTTGTTTGTTTCTTATCTCTGAACGTGTTGATTTCAAAACCCTAGTCTCTTTGGACCTATTTGAGTTCCTGAAGTTGCTTCCTCTACTGTTCGACTGAGTTTCGAGATCTTTGTGTCAACTTTGTTTCTTCATACGATTCTGACCTCTTTACTTGACCTTTCGCATGCTATCTGGTATTCCCTCTTCTCTGAGATGACTACCATGTTCCTATGGTCCTCTACTCACTGATTTTCTTTGATTGCATGACACTCTTCTTTGTCTTAAATCCAGCCTCGCATGCTTAATGTTTATGCACTCTTTATAGGTCAAATTTCCCTCTCAAAATAACCTTGATTGTGGACTGATTTCAAATCTCTTTGTGTAATTCTGATTGCACTCTTGAATTGATTCTTTCCTTTATTGTTTTGATTTCCTTTGTTTCTTGGACTTGTTGAAATATTTTCCTTTCGACCCTGCCTTTCTACTTAAGTTGATTTGATCCCATTACCTTAATTACATTAGTATGGGATTCTTACAGACCTTTCCTTAATTAAGGTCTAATGAACTTAACCCCTAATACATGTGGTATACTCGTACTGTGCTGAAAATATTTCCTTATTTGTCATGTCCAGCCCTGCGTGATTTCTTTCCTTATTTAACACTTGCATGCTACCGTTTGGTTTAATTGCTTTATTAAAGGAAGTCTTTGATACTGATTTGATTTTAATAAGACACATATTCCTCCAATTATGTCTGAATTACAGTCCTTACCTTATTTCTGCATGTTTCTCACACTATTAATACCCGCTCTTTTATTAACACCCAAAAACAAGAAAAAACACTGGAGTCTTTTCTGAACTCACACTCACACACAAAGTATTCTCTCTTGTTGTTTGTGCTGTGGCTTCTTTGCAAGACTTCTGCTCTCTTTTGCTTGTCTCTTTCTGAAACTGGTACGCCTTTATTTAAACTTTTGCCTCATCCCTATGTGTTTATTCTATAGTCTCATTCTTTTGTGTAGTTTGCTGTTCATGCTTCGTAACTTATGCTAAGTATTTTTCCTTTCTTTGCTTCTGTTCTCATATGAATCCCTACCCCTAATCCCCTTTATGTGTTGAGTTGAAACCTTGGCCTGACAGTATCCCAATTACTGCCCAGGCCATGGTTTGACCTTCAGTAGGTCCTGACTCTCCAATGTTTGGCTAGTGGGCTGGTCAGGGGTGTGCCAGCATTCTATATTGCTGGGCATGACCACCAGCCTGCCTTGGCATCCCCTAATTCCCTCTATTGCACTTACACTTGTTCCTAGATTCTAGGTTCTGCCCCCTCCAATGAGCCTTGCCTTGGGACCTTGAGTTCCCTCTGAACTTGGACATTGGAGGGCTGGCCCTTCCGCACTGCACTTTAATTCAGTTCTGTAATGATATCTGGGTGTAAGCATTGCCTGGAGTTCTTGAAACTCCTTGAAAATTTGACACATTCCAGATAAGAGAAAGGCCTTGAAACTTGGTCCCGGCAGTTGGCTCATATCATATTGTTAGACCTTGGGTCTGAATTAGGCTCCTTGGATGCAGCTTAAAAGCTCTGATGTAATTTTATTCTCTATTTGATTCATTTGGTCTGTAATAAATTT